ACCTGACAAAAATCAGTTTTGAATTGGCTTTGAAAGACCTTTTAGAATCAAATTAAGCCCACGAAAAAAAAATCATTTTTAAATAGTATTTTTTGGAAAATATATGGTTGTAAATGAATTTTGATAAAATGAGGCTCAAACAAGGGCTAAACCTCTATTCGATAGACATTAGAAAGAGTTTTTTCTTTCCTTTTTTTTTTTTTTGAAAAAATTAGTTTTGGAATAGTGATTTTTTTGGAGAATATGTGGTCGAAAAATAGGAAAACATTTTGTATTTACGTGCAAATTTTTTTATTGCCTAAATGTGTGGTTGAAAATGGTTTGAGAAAAAAGAGTTTTGAAAAAATTGATGACAAACTGGGTCTAACTCGCGTTAATAGATAAAATGTTAATTTTCTTACAAAATTAAGTCATAAATACACGTGTCAATAGCTATGTTTAGCAAAAGAATAGTGCTACATATATATAAGGAGTTATATAATGGTTTATATACAGATGAGATCTCAAAAAGGGAGTGGTGAAGTTTTTTTTTTATTTGATTGAAGAAATTCTGACTTAATCATATTTCACTATATTATGTGTATATGAATCATTATATAAATTATTATGTACATGTATCACAACCCTTAACAAAATGGATCCATTTTCTAATGCTGCACATCAGCGCAAAAATGGCAAGTAATCGAAATCTTTTCCAAATTGGGGCAATTTTTAAACACGTTTTCGTATTTTGACCATAACTTTGGCTACAGTTATCAGAATCACACTTATGACTCCAATTCGGAAAGCTCTTTTCGGCGCACACGTCGTGATCACTAGCTTCGCTCGGCGCGCATCGATTTCGAGGGCAAAATCCGCAGTTTTCCATTTTGAATCTCTAATCTTAGTTATTTTTTCTTTTTTTTAGGTAATATTTCGTTTGTTTTTTTAAAAGAGATTATGAACTCGATTTGAACCAAATTTTTAGGATATTATTTCTTTTATTATGCACTTTCTGTTGGTATGATTATTAAGATTTTGTTATTTTTGGTAAAATTCAAATAATTACGATTTTCTAATTATATAGCCTGGCTTGTGGGCTGTTTTCGCATGGTGAATGAAATAATAAATAATTATCTTGTTCTTCTTGACATTTTCTCTTGCATTCTTTCCTATGAATTATCTGTTGAAATCAGCCTCTAAATAATAGCTATTCTGTCCGACGTCATTTTCTACAGTGTTCTAAAAGAAGCGATTAGGCTTGATGCGCGACAGAAATGTCAAGCCACTTATTTAGCGACAGCAATCGTTGATAGCTAATGCGCGCCTAGGTACACATTATTATTATTATTATTATTATTATTATTATTATTATTATTATTTTTATTATTATTATTATTATTATTTAAATTTGTTACAATTCTTTTAAATTAAAGCTTAAAGATTGATTTACATTTGAAAATTATTTTTTTGTTGAAAACTTTTGAAAAAATGTATAAAGTTTCTACAAATCCGTTTTAGATGTTTGATAGGCATTATTTTCAATTATTAAATGATTTTGATTGATTAATAATTAAAATAAGAAAACTTCCTTTTACGTTTTTTTCCGCTTATGCCTCGCTTAAGTTCGCCTTGCCCATAGCTTGACTTCCACCCATTGCTACGCATTACGCATTTTAGAACATTGTTTTTCTCTATGTACTTCCACATACACGTATAGGTATAGTTGAACCCCCATCTAAATCTAAGTAGGTTACTAAAAACTCAAACCTAAAAATTGATAGATTTGAAAATAAATGAAATACGCGAAGAGAGTATTTCGTTGTTTAATAAATAATCTATTTAGGTTATTGTGTCGGAGTAATTGCATTATAAGCAATAATGTAGTTGAGATCTAACTAGGGGCCTAAAACCTCTAATATTCGGCTCATATTTATAAACACACAAATTAAATTTTTATTCGCACATTTAGATGAACACATAAGTACTACCCACTTAACAATAATCTTTAAATAACTTATAAACATTTTTCAAACATGTTCTCGTCCACTGATTAATGAAGCATGGGATTAACTAATTAACGTCAATTTATGCATTTCTAGAATCCAAAGATGCGTAGTACAAAAATCGCAGTCAGCGTCTGTTTGAGCCCCTTTTTTGTTCAAATACATTTTGAAATAATATTTTGTTGAAGAATGTGTGGTAAAAAAATAAGATTTTTTTTTTTTGAATTTGTTTGTAATATTATTTTATTAAAAAATGTGTGATTAAAAATAAAAGAGAGAAAAATGTATTTTGAAGATAATGGGAGACCAAACAAGGGCTTAATAATGTTATATTTGTAGAGAAAAAAACTATTTAAATAGAAAAATAAATGAACCATTTGATCACAAAATAACAACAACAACAATTAAGCCCATGTTTTGAGTTTCATTATTAAAAATTCAATTTTTTTTGAACTCATTCTCTACATCACATTCTTTTATATTTTTAAATTCAAAATAATATTACATGTAAATTAAAAATCACTTTTTACAAAATATATTCGTAAAATATAAGGTTTAAACATGAGAATTAAACTACTTTTTACACTTGTGTGTCAAAAATCTAGCAGATTGAAAAATGTGTTGTCAAAATCAATGTATTAAAATATGTCAAACTCATATGGATGTAAATCAAACTTTATGTATACGTAAGCATGATCTAAACATGAACTACATATTATTCTATACAATTTAAATAAAATTGTCCGCCACATATAGAAGAATCTTTTCTATAAATATATACCTCTTCCTTTCTATCTTTCACGGCCATTCTTCTTCAGATTTTTCCACTCTTTCCTAAATTTTTGAGTGGGTTCTGAATAAAGATACTAATCTTTGAGAATTTTCCGTGCACCTAGATGGCAACGCCAGCAGAAATCTTAGCATTGGAGCAAATAAGAATGCATCTTCTCGAAGAGTTTTCTACTAGAGAAATTTCATTTGCTACTGATGTCGAAAATCAAAGCAGCTCTAACATAGCTTTGTCGATTTCTAGCTCTCTGACTCTATCGGATTCATTTTGCCCGCAATCTTCAAGCAATGAATCTCCGATTTCTAACTCTGATTACTCCACTAATTTCTCCGATTTTTCAAGCTCTCGATCCTATTTTTTCGAGCGAAGTCAAGTAATAGATTTCACTACACAAGGAGCACTAAATTCTAACAATCCGAAGCCTTCGCTGGACATCAAATTGCCAGCTGTCGATGTATCAGTGTCAACTCGGAAGAACTCAGTCGCGGAGGAGAATCGGCATTATAGAGGAGTCCGACAGCGTCCGTGGGGCAAGTATGCGGCGGAGATCCGGGACCCCAATCGGCGCGGCTCGCGTATCTGGCTGGGGACATTCGACACAGCCATTGAGGCTGCAAAAGCCTACGACAAGGCGGCTTTTGAGCTGCGCGGCCGCAAGGCAATTGTGAATTTCCCTCTGGAGATACAAAGCGTGGTGTTTCAATCATGCTCCCCCGTGGATGTCGGACGGAAGCGGTCCAGTCGAGGAGAGAGGTGGAGGAGGAAGCTGCACTAGTAGATGTGGAGAGATATATAAATAGAGGCTGAAAATGAGACATTGAATAATAGTAAAGTGAATGCATGCAGCTCTTTCTAATATTTCTTATTCGATCATTCTCGATTCTGTGAGAATTTTCACGTGTTGTTTCTTTAAACNAAGTGAATGCATGCAGCTCTTTCTATTATTTCTTATTCGATCATTCTCGATTCTATGAGAATTTTCACGTGTTGTTTCTTTAAACAGAATAATCTTTCTAATAGAACCGTAAGCGAATGCATGCAGCGCTTTTGATTTATTTTCTTTTGAGTTTGAAGAACGATATCAATCTTATATTTATTTACTTCTTCAAACACTCACAATTCGAAGTAACTGATCGAAGAACGATATCAATCTTATATTTATTTATTTTCTTTTGATCGCTCACTTTTTTCTTTTTATAGCAAAATTAACTCTTATCCCATTAATACCAATTACTCAACGAAATATGTGAAGTTAGTGGCGGAATCAATATTTTGGGTTTGGGAAAGCGGCTTAAAAGAAAAAAGGAAGATGA